AGCAAACAAACACATTATAACTAACTGAGAAAATAAATTTTCCTCTTCTCATCCCAACATTTCTCATCCCATCCTTTCTCAGTCCAATTTTCTCAGCAATCAAACAGACCCTTAGGCTTCAAGTTAAATTGGAGAAAATTGACAAAATGCTTTAGATTCATGCCCTTTTTTTCTTTTGAAAAAAAGGTGAGGTATGTTCTATGGCTTCTTTTGCCTCACTAGTGGGACTCCATTTAACTCCATTAGCAGTATGACAGATAACTTTTAGCCAATCCTTTGTGATCCTGAATTGTTTTGTGCAATGCTAGATTATTCTCCAGATGATGGGCACTGCATTGTCCCTCAGATGCTGTGATATTTTTTGTCAATAACAATTATTTGTATTCAATCATGAAATTAACACTTCCTACTCAAAAGCAGAGCAGAAAAGGAGAGTACAAGGCAGACCCTTTTTTATTGGTAGCAAAAACATTTCATTGATTAAAATTCACAATTGTGAAGAAACCCCAGTATAGTTAAACCCCAATGAGGCCAAACATCAAAAACTACCTCCCTACCCAAATACAATTCAGTCTAGAAAACCTGATTTCTATTTACCCCTTGCTTGGAGTACAAGGCAGACCTTGACAGTACCAAAATTTAACATGATAAATTTTACACATTCATACCCGGTCCAGGTGCTCTCCATAGGAGGCAATCTCTTGTTAGCCATGTTCTTGCCAGAGCATCAGCCATGACATTTGTTACCCACTTGAGCAAGCTGTTCAACTGTCTGCCCAATGCTTGAGCCTGTCTAACCAGTGGCCTGTAACTCCAAGGATGTCTCCATCAGTTTGCATCCATGCAATCCACTATTAAATTCTTCTATCCACACAGAGATAAGCTTGAGACCTTGAATGCGTGCTCGTATTTCTGCCTTTAGTACAATGCCCTGTCTAATTGGTCCAGAATAACTGAGGCAAATCTTGCTGTTCTAACAACCCCTTCCAATTCCAAATTCCCCAGGGTTGCCTAGGTTGCATCCATCAAAATTGAGTTTGAGTCTTCCAGCCTTAGGGTCTACCCATACCCCTTGTATTTATCAGCTTCTAACTATTTCTATCTAGGACTAGGCTAAAATTAGTCTCCTTTTCTTGCTCAAGTACGGTGTGCCCAAAAGTCCTGCTTCCAACTATTTATTTATTTTATTGGAAACGGTAACTTCATTAATACAATATAAAGTACAACTGTCAACCCCTAAATAGATATTGAGTCCCCAGTAATCTTTATTGCAAAACTGCCCAGAACATACCCTCCCTCACAGTCCCTTGTTTAGCCAACGTATCAGCTAAGCCATTAGCTGATCTTTTTGTCCATTTGAAGCAAGCACCAATCTCCCTTGTTATATTGAGGATTTCCCTTATGGGCTGGCTGTCTATAAATCAAGGCTCCCAACTTACCTGATTGCAACCAATCAATTGACAGTTTAGAGTCTCCCTCTATCTCAACTTGGTGTAACCCCAATTGTTTGGCATATCTTACACCTTGAAGCAAGGCCATCACCTCTGCTCTCAACGAGTCCCCCACTCCTATTGGCCCTGAAAACATAGCCACAATTCTGCCATTTTCATCTCTGAATACTCCCCCTATACCTGAAGGGCCCGGATTACCTCTAAAGCTCCCATCAAAGTTCAGTTTTGTTCTTTGTTGTGTTGGTGGGGATCACAACTCCTGAACAATAGGTTGAGCATATGGAATTGGAGTCATGGGTAGTCTTAGTTTCAATCACAAAACTCTCTCTCTCTCCTAATAACAACAAGCAGGCCTCTCTCCCTTGTTTATCATTGACAGAAAACGTTGCTCTTGATGGAGTTTAATGGTGGGATAGAATTCATGCAGTTGACGCCAAATAGTTGGGATTAAGGCTGAGATGAGTTGAGCTGAACTAGTATGACTTCGGTCTTTTTTTCTCCAGAAGCTCTATAGGTGCATGCAAAGATCAAAGCATCGATAGACACCAATAGATACCAAAAATTGGGTATCAGCGCATATTAATAGAGACCAATACCCTTGTTTATTTTTCTTTTTTTTATTTTTTATCAGCTATAGAGGGATGACCTCTATCATCCCAAACTTTCAAAGCCCACAAACCCTGTATATATCAATGTATCCATGACCATGGATATGGGTACAATACACCCATTATGGATTATTAGCTTCAGAGGGATGCCCATCATCCCAAGCTTTTTAATCCTTCAAACCCTGTGTTTATCAATGTATCCATGGCCTTGGGTACGAATATGATCCACTCGATACTTTGCACAGCAGGGTGATCACCTCTTCCTCTTGTTTATCCTTGCTATGAGGGTGCATGGTAGATAATTTGTTGATTATTGGAAGAGGAAGAGGTCACTCCTGGAATTCAGGCCAAATTTCATAAGGTGACCAAGACAGGCACTTACTAGTTGACTATTGGAAATCTTTTGGGTGGTAGTGTATGCTCCTGTTACATCTTGCCTCTGATTTTCTAGACATCTTGGTACTGTTTTTTGGCTTCCCATTTTGCATTTTAGGTGCCCAATTGGGAGGGCTTTTATGCAACGTCTTCTGGCATTGTATGAGCCAAGAAACCCAGAAAGTCATGAAGTTTGGTAAAAATCTGGAAAGCAAAAAATAGGTTTACATGAGCCCAAAAATCAACTTTCTGGAGAAGCTATCGTACACAGCTTCTTGGAAGCAGCTCTGTCAATGCTGTTCATTCACCGCACAAGCCCTCCCAAACGGGCTCTAGGTTTCTCAGGTTCAACTTTTTGGGAGCTTTGAGCCCACTCCTGGATTTCAGACAAAGTTTCATGAGGGTGTGGCTATTGCTTTGTGTAAGGTGACCAATGATGGGTACTTTAGTTGTTCAGTTCCTTCTTCCTATTAGTCTTCTTCAGGACCAGCTATATTGGGTTTTACGGTGCAAACTGCATAGAACTGAAGGATGGCATGCTTTAATGCAATTATCTAAATTAACAGCAGAGTATGGATCAATTTTTTATTGATAAGCAGCATGGGTCTTGAAAAGACAATGAGATTCTTTTTTTTTTTTTTCTTTTCTTTCTTGTTTGGTAGTGTATAGTGGACCCTTTTTTCAGAAATGAGGAAGGAAACATTATTTTAATGTTCTCAGGTCCTATAGAGATTGGAGACTCAATCAAGGCAGAAACTTGTGTAATTCTCCATGACACAAGAGAGGCAAAATCTGTGATCACCAAAACTCTGGTTGTTGAAGGAGATTCAAGAGTTGTAATCGGATGGCTAGTGGAACCTACATGATCTCATGGCATAAAGTTGTGTCTAGTATTCATGGACAATCAAGGAATGGATGGGATGCTGGTTGTCTATATAGAGCTACTCTGATTGGACCTTGGAAAGCTATACATAGTATCCTCCCTTGTTTTCTTAGTTTTGTAAAATATGATTTGGCTTCTCTCAACAAGATAAGATTTTGGAGGATGTTTGATGTTTGGGTTGGGGAATCTCCGTTGAGAGATACTTTCCCTCCTCTTTGCTCTTTCTAGCCTTAAAGATAGGGTTGTGGCTGATTTCGTTCAACATCGTCCTTCTTCCTCTAGGCTGAATTGGAATTTGGGCTCTACCAGAAACCTTAGAGAGTTGGAAATCCCTGATGTATCCAACTTATTGAACATTTTTAGCTCTATTTTCTTTGATGTGGAGGGTAGAGATACCCAATTTTGGTCCCCTAATCTTATTGGGGCTTTCTCCTATAATTCCTTCAAATCTCTTGTTTCTACTCCCTTCTCTCCCTCCTATCCTATTGGTTCGTTCCTATTCCCCTAAAGATTAGTGCCTTCTGTTGGGAGGTTGTCCATGGCTTCATCAACACCTGTGACTTGCTTAAGAGGAAATGGCCAAAGTGTCCTTGTCCCCCAATTGGTGTATTCTTTGTAAGTTGAATGGTGAGACTGCTTTTCATCTCTTAATCTCCTGTCCCTTTGTTTGCTGCATCTGGGAATGGTTCTTTTCTCTTTTTAGTTGCAGATGGTTCCCTCCTGCCAGTTTGGAGAGGTTGTTTAACCCTATTGTGTTTAGGAGCAAAAAAGGAGTGGCAGGATCCTGTGGAGATGTACAAGAGCAGTAGTGGTCTGGACAATGTGGGAAGAAAGAAATTCAAGAATCTTTAGGGAAGAGAGGAGACAATGATAGAGACCATTACCCTTAGTGTGGATCATTGGATTAAGACCTTGAAACTCTTCACGAACTTCAAAGTGGAGGACTTTTTCAGGATTTGGGGGCCTATAGCAGACCTCTAGGAAACAAAAAGTCTCAGAGGTGCGGTCGGTTGGCTGAAGCTGAATTTTGATGGAAGCAGTATGGGTAGCCCAGGTCCCTCAGGAATTGGAGTACTTAAGAAATGAGGGTGGGGTTATTTGTGCATTGTTCTCAGGTCCAATTTAGCAGGGTGATTCAGCCAGAGAAGAATTTCTGGCAGCTGTATGTGGGATTGAGAAAGCCAAGGAAATGGGAGTTGATAGGCTGATCATTGAAGGTGACTTGAAAATTGTAGTGGGATGACTAAAAACGGAATAGGAGTGACTTGGCAGTTGAGAAATGTGTTCCGATGCTTTAAATGACTTGCAAAAGACATGAGTGTTCAAGTTAGATGGGTCAGACGATCTACTAACAACTTGGCAGACAGTCTTGCTAAGCAGGGGGTTCAGAGATAACAAATGTTTTGGGCATATTTGCAGTTTCAGTTGGGGGGGGCGCAGTTAATTCTGTGATGGGTTTGCTTTCCTCACAACTTGTTGTATTCTGTTGTTTCTCATAATAAATAAAATTTTGATTCTGTTTTACTGATAAAAAAAATCAAAAAGATGATAGG